GGAAGTCCCAGAACATTCCTTCTACTGTCTTCTACAGGTCAAAGCAGCCACAAGGCCAGCCCAGACTCAAGGGGAGTGGAGGAGTCACTGGGGGCCATCTTTGGAGACTAACTACCATGATCCCCTTCAGTCTATTTTCCACTTTCCAGAGACATCTTTTTTTTTTTTTTTTAAAGATTTATTTGAGAGAGGGAGAATGAGAGAGAGTGTGCGTGTGCATGTGAAAGGGGAGGGACAGAGAGAGAGAATCTCAAGCAGACTCCTCTCAGAGCATGGAGCCCGACACAGGGCTTGATCCCATGACCCATGAGATCAGGACCTGAGCCAAAACCAAGAGTCAGAAACCCAACCAACTGAGCCATCCAGGAGCCCCTCCAGAGACATCTTTTAAACACAAATAGACATCACTCTCTGCTGAAATCCACCAATGATATCATCATGCTCACGGTACTGTCACATTTAATGCCCTGCCTTACCTGGCTCCTGCCCAATCCTGTCCTTCATACTTCTGCTCTCCCCATATTGGTCCTTACCGTCTTCCCAGTACCCCTAACTCACCACCCTGAACCTTTGTACTTGCTGTTCCATCAACCTGGAACAGTTTTCCCCCAAGCCGCACTTGGCTACTTCACTTCATACTTTGGATACCTGACATTATTTATTTATTCACATTTTGGGTCTCCACTAGAATTTAAGGTCCTTGCTGGTAGTGCCTTTCTTGGTCCTATCCTGTTATTTGCTCCTGACACCTAGAAAAGCATTAATCACAGGGCTGGCATTCCATAAATACACCCTGTGGTCAACTGAGTTTATTTCCCTACATCTTGGGCATGTACTGCCTTCCATTAATTTTAAAATAGGCGAACTACAGCGGTAATTAGCACACGGATCCAATCGCATACCCATACTACATACCCACTGGCAAATATTTCTACCTTCCTAATAAAGCTGACAGCTGCTTTCCTGGGTGCCTTGAGGGAGAGCTGTTGCCGCAAGCCCCGCCTCTGATGGGTCGGTCTTCAATCTGCCCCGTGCACGCACGGGACTCAGGGAACTCAGAGGAACTCATCAGGCCACTCGGGCAGAAGCCAGGGGAGGGCTGCCCTCGGCATTTTCATTTTAACCCATTTTGGTGTCAGCTGTCCCTCATTAACTCACTGAATTTAATCAGAGGGTTGAATGAGAACCCCTAAACTATGGCATCTAAGAGACCACTGTAGTCCAACACTGTCAATCAAAGTGAACCCACATACATCCAGGAAGCTGGCTCGCGTGAAGGGCAGTATGCTTACAGGCACGCATCCCACGGGTCAAAGAGAAATCTAGGTCCAAAACAATACTAACAAAGCTTGTTTATTCATAAACTTGCAGCAAGAGAACGCTTCTGCCACCACCCTTGTTTCAGCAGGGGTTCAAAGGTGTCAGGGAGTATATTTCATCGAGTCAAAAGGAAATGTTGTTTCAGCGAAAACCATTCTACAAGGGTAGGATCAGTGGTGTGAGGGAGACTCACGGGTCTTCCAATACATTTGGCAATCCTTGGTTAGCTGCAAGGGGACAAGTGAGCAGTTTGGGGACATTTCAAAAGAGGAAAGGGTGGAGAATTTTCTGTGGCCAGCCATTTCCTGGAGCAAGCGGGGGTCGACAGGATGCTTAATTGTAGTCAAACTGTCATCATGGTTATTGGGGGTGGGGGGTGGCTGCTTTCCTGCAGGAAGTTTCTCATATGATCATTCAATTAAAATAATTATAATTTTAGAGTTGAATTTTGACCCACCACCCATGGTCCCCACCCCGAGTCCATTCAATGAATGGAAAACCTCAGAAACAGGGTAATTCAGTGTTTGAGCCTTAGTTAGCAATGGTCAGAAGCAGAAGTTTTCCTGAATCCTAGGACTGTGAATATAACCACCATGCTTCTCAAAAACAAAACAAGAAGGAAAACAATGAAAATACAGTCAGTGGAAATATAAACCAGTTCTAGGCGCGCCTAAGGATACCCCTGCTTCTTTAACAGACCCCTGACCCTGTCTGTTATGGGGCTCAGGGCTCTGGGCTTCAGAGGAGTCTAAGCCCCTCCCCAGTACTGGGAAGAGAGTCCTCAACTGGTCTAGCCTCCACAGATTTCATTCGCGCTAATGAACATAAGGGAAAAGTGGGTGGGTGGGTGGGGGAAGGGAGGGCATCTGGAAAAGAAAGTTTGAGGGGTTTTTTTTAAGAGCCCATAGAAGTGGTATTTTCTGCAGTGGGACATGGAGGGGGTTTGTTTTCCGTGTGTGGGGGAAAAAGGTTCATACAACTTGGCAATGTAAATTGAAAGTCAAAATCTCTTTTGACCCTACAATCCTCCTAGTATGTTTTCCTACAGAATCACGGTATCTAGGAAAAGAAAAAAATTAACACATGCAAAGACGTATTGGCTTTTTGTTCTAATAAAAGCAAAGAATTGGAAATCCCCAACAACAGGGCATCAGGAAACACTGTGAAAGACTTTGAAACAGGTCCCCCCAACCTGCCCGCACTTAACAGAATGTTTTATCTTGCCCACATACTCTTTAAGCTACTTTATAATGATGTAGATTGAAGGAAACAGATCATGCAGGTGATTCTTGTCCATACATAGGCAAACCGCACCCTGTAAAGTCCTAAGTGTAACTGATTATTACTCTGTAGATATTGGCCAATTTTGCCAGTTGTGTGTCCTACTAAGCAAATTTTTCAGCATTCCTACTGGGCTAATTATATTATTATGTTTTCTCTGGATTCTCCTTTGAACTAATTAAAACATCTTACTTGTTCTCTCATTAATGAACAAGTTAAATAAAATCTTTAACATGTTCATTTTGTATTTGAGTCATGATTTTACTTTTTAAAAACAAAAATTATCCTTTAGCAAGGTGGTTAATTTAGTACATTCATTTGATCTTACTTACAGCCCTCTTCAAAATAGTTATAAAGAACATATAGCAGGGAGCGTCGGGTGGCGCAGTTGGTTAAGCGTTGGATTCTTCATTTTGGGCTCAGGTTGTGATCTCAGGGTTGTGGGATCAAGCCCCGCGTCAAGCCCCGCGCTCAGTGTGGAATCTGCTAGAGATTCTCTCTCCCTCTCCCGCTTGTGCTCTCTCTAGAATAAATAAATCAATCTTAAAACAAACAAACAAAAAACTGTTACACGTTGAAACTAAGAGAGGAGCCACCTGGCTGGCTCAGTAGGTACAGCATGCAACTCTTGATCTCATGGTTGTGAGTTAGAGCCCCATGATGGATGTAAAGATTAACTAAAAACCTTTTTTAAGATTTTATTTATTTGAGTGACACAGAGAGAGCATGAGCGAGCGGGGGGAGGGGCAGGGGGAGAGGGAGAATCTTACACACGCTCCACGCTGAGCACAGAGCCCAATGCGGGGCTCAATCCCAGGACCCTAAGATCATGACCTGAGCTGAAATCAAGAGTCAGACGCTTAACCAACTGAGCCACCCAGGTGCCCCTTAAAAATCTTTAAAAAAAAAAAAAAAGAGAAACAAAGGCTCCATATTAGTTTCCCCTTGTTGCTGTAACAAATTACCACAAAGTTAGTGGCTTAAAAACGACACACATTTATCATCTTAGTTCTGGAAACTGATTATAAGTCCAAAATGGGTCTCATTGGGCCCCAGGGGAGAGAAGTTTCCTTGTGTTTTCCAGCTTTGAGAGGCCACCACAGTTCTTGGCTTCTAGTCTCTTCTTCCATCCTCAAAGCCAGCAAGCAAGGTATCTTCAGATGTTTTTCCTCGGACTCCTAAGGACTCTTGTGATTATACTGGACCCACCCACACAAACCACGATAATCTCCCCACCTTAGGGTTCATAGCATAATCACATCTGCAAAGTCCCTTTCACCTTGTAACTAGTCACAGTCCTAACTTTAAGTTCAGCGCGAACTAACAGCATCCCTGTGTTTCTGAGTGAAGGTCTCATCACACTGAGTGCTGAATGCAAGAGCACCTAGTACAGGATCTCATTTAAATTTAATTCAGAAGTAACAGGTAATACTAGAGTAGGAAAATAAAACGAATGTTGCCTCTGGGGGTAGAGTGGGGACTGAGAAAGGGCATAAAGGAATTTTCTGAGATGGTGGTCATAGTCTGTATCTTGACAGTGCTGTAGGGTACAAGAATATAAACAAATATGGAATTCTAGTATGTATTTGGAGGGAATTGCAGTGATGTCTGACATTCTGAAATGTGATATAAAAGGATGGATTCATAGAGGGATGGATGAATATGTGATAAATAGGTACGATAACATGTTTACGGTAGAATCTAGGTGGTGGGTGTCCAAGTGTTCACTATAAAAATCTTTCAATCGTTGTTTGACAATTTTTATACGGGAGTTTTGCAAAAAAACAAGCCATGACCCTGAAGTATGGCTCCAGTGACTTAAACTAATAAAGGGATGGACTGTGTTTCGACAGGTGCGGGGTATTACTGATGGTCTCCATCACAAGGGAGGAGGGGAGTATTACTAGCACATACAGGGTGGGGGCCAGAGAAGCTACTGGAACCAACTAGCCTGCCCACACGACAAAGAACTTTTACACCAATGTCACCAAGGAACACGGATTTAAAACCCCCATCTTCCCTTCATAACCCTCCATCAATTCGCTGCAGCACCTCTCCAGCTGGGTGGTGGCTCATTTCCTGAGAGCCGCTTGCATCTCCCACTTCTTGGGAACTCCAGAGGACCCAGCAGAACGCTCTACCCAGAACACATATTTAAAAAAACATCTGATGATGGGGGAGCGGGGGGGGCTCCTTGACAGTTCTTCCACCAGTGAAGATGCAAACCTGCAATCCCCCCCCACCCCCCAGAGGGGCCCACAGGGAAGGATGTTCCTGCTACAGCTCTTTCGCCAAGCCGCAATCTCCAACATGACATCCCCACCGGCAGGGCCCCTACCCCACCCCCCTGTACCAAATGGCCCAGGAGGCACCTGAAAGTAATCACCATCACACGGAGCTGAGAAAAGCCAGCATAAAGCACTTTTATTGCAATAATAAAACTTGAAACTCATACGTAGTGCGGGGAGGTGGGGGTGGGGGGTAGGCAGCAAAAATCTCTCTCACCAAATCACTACACAGGACAGCAAAGGGGTGAGAGGGAGAGGAGGAAAAGCCAGGAAACTCCGAGAAGAGCAGGGGGAGCCGAACATCAAAAACCAGGAGATGCTGAAGCTGTGATGACCAGCATCATTTTCTCAAGACAACACTCAAGGGTTTGTCATGATGGCTGGGCTTTCATCGGGTGTTAAGTGTCTACAAACAGCACCTTCAATTTAAACTTTCGATTAAAATTCTTAAAATTTGGGAAGTGGAGCTTGGATAGCTATGCGATTACAAAAAGTCCTGAATATCCGTTAGAAAAACCACAGGATGGAAAAAAACAAACCAAAACGCCGGGCCACGAAGAAGGCTTCGGAGGCCCCTGCTGGCCTGGGGACAGGAACCTGTAGTGTCCTACATCGCAGTGAGAGCATCTGCTTTCGAAAGGCAGAGGCTTTAAGGGGAGGCTGAGGCGGGGCAGTGCAGGCAGAGGCTCTCCCCGCCCCGCTTCCGTTTTAGGCAGGGCTTTTAATTCAACCCAAGGACATCTCTCAGCTGGGAGAGTAATCCGGCCCCCGAGAGCACCTCAAACCTGCTATGGCTTTGCAGCGAAGCAGCGAGAATGTTTAATATATCATAGATACAAATTTCATCCAAAAAAATAAAATAAAATAAAGATTCTTGCATCCCACCCCCCCACACCAATTCCTATCCTAAAGTTAACCCATTACTTGTGCTGTTAATACTTGACTAATTCTTAAGTGGAAACCTAGATCCAAAAGACTGAAACTGAACCTTCACCCCAAAACAAAAACGAAATAAAATGAGTAACTTGAGGTTTATGGCATATAGTTTAGGTCAACACACATACGAGGAGAAAGGGAAAGAGCAAAGCCGGGTGACAGAACACATTCAGTCGGGGTCGATGTTTATACAAAGAGTGTAGTGGAACATCAGGAAAAGCTCCGTACGGATTCGCGCGTGCGCGTCTGGAGGCGCCACATCCCTCCACGGCACATCTGTGGGGAACAGAAAATCTGTCAGTCCCAGCAACACGATGCTGTGTGTGTGCGGTGGGGACAGACGTGGGCTGTCTGCCACATCAAGTCCCTTCCCCAGGAGCTGCAAGGTCTCACCTGGAACCAGCCACTTCTGCTCCAGCTGGGGAGAGCCTGCTGGGCTTGGACTGGCTTCCCAGGTGAGCAGTCTCCTTCCTGCCTAAATTGGTAGTGTTTTTTTAAACCTAAGGTGACACTACCTTGCTGAGGAGAGCTGGAACAGTTCCCCATTATCACTGGGTCTCCCAACTTGGCTGCACATAGGAATCACTTGGGGGCTTTAGAAACGTGTCATGCTTGGCTCCCACTCCCAGTAATTGTGGTTAACTGGTCCAAGGTGTGGCCCGGGCATCAGGAGAGTCTTCGAATAGGCTTCCTATGTGACTTTCGTGGGCGCAGCACTAAGTTGGTACATCCCTCAGGTTGAAGAGATTTAGGAAGTGTCCGTGGTCTTTACTCATTTACTCAAACCTACAACTTTCTAGGTGTGCTCTTGGGCTTTCCTTTAAGACCTGTGCAAGAGCTCTGAGATGTTCTTTGGTGGTGTGGGGGGAGGCTTAGGCCAGGGTGACTCGCAGCCCTCTCTCCCTTCATCCTACCAGATTTACAGAATGCCTGTACCCAAATCAGCGTAATTCCAAGGCTCCCTTCAAATACTTTTATGTACAGTACTATTTACAGTACAGTATTACAGTACAAAAAGGGTTCAGCTCTCAAAGAACAGGAAAGAGGGTCTGGACTAAGTGTAGACCTTCAGGCAGACAGAGGCTCTGTAAAATGTTAAGAGTTCCCTCTGGGTGAGAATGACAAGTAGAGAAGCCAGGGTTGCCAAACCTGACCCAGGTATGTAGGGCTCAAACCACACAGAGAGAAAATAGCTAAGAATTTAAAAAGCCCTTGTACTTAAAGAAGTCCACGGCAGGACAAGATTAGACCATAAGAGACAGGCTGGCAGCCACTTGTGACAGCTTTTGAACAAAAGCATTCTCACCTAGCTCCCGGCTGTGGTCCTCTGGTTCCAGGGCCAGGAGGGGGGCAAACCTAGAGCTCTGGGGCCAAGTGGAAAGAAGATGGCAGCATTCGTGTGTTTTATGATTCTGATACCCACATGAAAAGTTATGAGCCATTAAGACACTGAGTTTGGTTTCCTAGAGACGAGGGTAAATGGAAGGAAAACAAGTCCAGGAAGGAGAAGCAGGAGAGGGGTTCTGGTCCTAGTCTGCCACTGCCTGGAAGTGACCCTGAGTAAGGTCTTTCTCTCTGGACCTAAGTTCCCTCACCTGTTACACAGGAAGGCTGATCAACTCTTCAGATCCCTTCTTAGGACTGAGAGCCCCGCTGTGCGTCACAAGCATCCCCCGGCCTCACCTTTCCAGCCACAGAAAGTAAGCGGGCCTGTGTGCTCCAGTATCCCGGGCTTGGCCCCGAGGCAGCCGGCCCAGGGGGACAGTGCCTCTCTCACACCCCCTCCCGGGCAGTGGCCTGGCTCTACATGGCGAGGGGGCTGCACGCACTAGGACACGGTAAGCAGTCCTCAACAGTCTTCCTTCTAAAGAACTAAAATGGGCGCCTGGGTGGCTCAGATGGTTAAGCGTCTGCCTTCGGCTCAGGTCGTGATCTCAAGGTCCTGGGATCGAGTCCCGCATCGGGTTCCCTGCTCAGTGCAGGGCCTGCTTCTCCCTCTCCCTCTGCCACTCCCTCTGCTTGTGCTCTTCTGTCTATCTCTCTGTCAAATAAATAAATAAAATCTTAAAAAAATAAAAAATAAAAAAAAATAAAGAACTAAAATGCTGGCATTATAATTTGGCCACATTTCTGGTTCCCAACTCAGTTTTAGTTTCTAAGTTAAATATAAAAACATCCTTCATTTAAACAGCTACTACCAGCTGCCCCATCCCAATGAGTTTGTTGGAGAGCATACGCCATCCCTTTCCACAGGGTGACAAACTTTTGCATTCAAAGTGTATACTAATAACTAAAACTGAAATGCTACCCAAGAGGGCAAGAATGTAGGGGGAAAAGAAAGCCGTGGCATTTTTGGTTCTGCTACCCACCAAGCACTGGGTGTAACATGGGAGGTACAAAGGTAGGAAAAGACCCTTCAGCACTCACTTCCTTACCCAAGAATGGGGAGCTCAGGGAGGAGGCCATTCCTGTCATTCCAGTTTCAGAAGCTCCACGTCAAAGACGAGAGTGGCATTTGGCGGGATGATGCCTGGGTGCCCAGTAGCACCATAGGCGTAGTCTGGGGAGATGGTTAGTTTGGCTCTCTGACCCACACTCATCTGTGAAAAGAACAAAAAGACAGACTCAAGTGGACGCACTCCCAACTGTCTCTGTTAGCAGTAGGGCTGTTTATTGGGGTGTCCCCTAGCCAGCATCACGGGACTCAGACACACTAGGGACCATGTGGGTGCCCGGGGCCCGGGCACCTCCTGGTGCAGAACCTGGAGGATGGCCATCAGGCTGCACGATCCCTGCATCTGGCTCTGAGGGGCCCAATACAGATGACATGCACCTTTCTGCGCAGGCCTCGCTGACCTGACTCTGGGCAGCCAGCACTGTGCCAGGGCTGCCACTTGGGCCTTCACGTGGTGAGTGGCATCTATGCTCTTAAAAAAGGAGTACTTTGACCAAAACTCTGCTTTAAAAGAAAACACATACACAGAAAGTACTATTTGGGGTAGTCTGCTTTTCTGTACTTACTATATTTTATACTTAAACTCATACAGAAAAACTTTAAAAAAGACATTTTACAAAGTAGCATGTATAGTAGGCAAAAGAGGGAAATATTTGTGTATTTGCACCTTACCTCTATGAACAGAAAACATCTTTGGAAGGACACAAATAATACCAGCATTTTTCCATGGGGAGAACAGAGTACAGTGGCCAGGGTGGAGGGAAATTTTTCACTTTTTAAAAATACGTTTGTACTTTTTCATTTCCTAATCAAATATATAAATAAGTTTCAATATATATTTTCTGAACGGTGAGCAGGCTCTCCACTGTATGTCCATCCTTTCAGTACTCTCTGCTCAGCCTCCCGACAGGGGCTCCTGGCTCTCTGACCCGGCCCCAGAGACAGTGACTAAGATGAAGCCGCAGGCTGCGCTCAGACTTGAATGTGACTCAGAACCCGTGCTCCTCACGTCTCCTTTGGGAAACCGGGGCATGCTGGACCAGGGTGGTAAGGGCAGTTAAAAGCATATGGCTTAATCTAATGAAATTCAAAACAGTCATGTCCTTCTACCCAGCAATTCCACTTCCAGAATCTTCTGCTAACAACCCAAATGCCCATTTGAAGGGGGGCGGTTTCACAGACCCATCCACACCAGGGGTCAGCCACTAGAAAGAACACAGTGGCCTTAAGAGCACGGAAAGATGGCGAAGACACAGAGGGGAAAAAAGCAAGCTGCCCAAACAGTACCTGTGGCAGGCCCGCGTACTTGTAAACACGTAAGAGCAAAACAACAATATCAAAAGAAAGGGAAAAGGGGCATAAGACAACCCCCCCCACACCCTTCTTCCTGTGCTTTTAACTCAAAGAAATATCCTGTGGAGTTTCAAAGATGCTCTGTGGAGGTCTCAGACCACCCAGACTTCTCACAAGTGACAGGCCTGTGACTGACCCCAAGCACAGTGGGTCCGGGAGGAGACTGGGCATCTCCCCAACACCCAGTCAGGCCTCGCCAAGCCTGGAATGTCAAACAGGCTGATAACACTATCTCCGTGGCAGCCATGGCTCTTGGAACACAACACAGTTATTGTTCCAGTGCCGGAAGAGCCACAGAAGATGGCTGTGGTGTGGACAATGGCTGGCACGGTCGTGGGGAATGGGCTACAGACCCAGAGCCAGCCAGACGCGGGCAGCAGGGACAGAGGTTTCCAAAGGGAAGTGAACCACAAAGATCCTCTCCTTCATTCTTGCACTGCGAATCCTGTACTCTGCAGGAACAGAAATCTAGACCCTTGGGAGCGGGATGGCTTAAAGTTTCTGCAAGTTGAGCAGTTCACTTGGAGATAACTCGGTGATGGTTTATAGAGGAAGTAGAGCGATGTGTATTCTGGAAAAGAGAAAGACATCTTTCTCTCCACTTTGGTTACATCTCAGTTCTCTTCCGTGAGAGGGAAACAGACGAATTACCCATCACGCAGGGCTGACTCTAAAGCTCCCTGAGTCTCAGGACGCTGGAACCTGGTTAGTGCCGGGAAAAAACCTGCTGAGCTTGATGGAAAGCTAGCACCCAACTGAAATTTGGCACCCCTGAGTCCCCTGTTGTCCACTGGGAATTCTGTCGTGTCGGCAGAACAAAAGCTGTTTACACAAATGGGGAGGGAGGGCTGAGGAAACAGACTCAAGACAAACAAAATGACTCCATGAGTATGACCTCTCAGAAGGGGTCTGACACAACATGGCCAATAATAAGACAAACGCAAATTAAAACCACACCAAGATAACGTTTTTCACTCATTGTATTGTCCTGAATCCAAAAGTTGAACGACACACTGCTGGCGGGGCTGGGAGGAGACAGGCACCCGCCCAGCCCACTGGTGGCGGCTCAGTGTAATCCCTACGGATGGCAACTTGGCACCAGGTCAAAATACAGTGCACACAGCCAGTGAACCACTCACCCCTCCTTCTGAGAATCTGCCTATGGCAACACTGACACAATGTAAAATTAAGTCCACACGAGATTAATCACTGCAGCATTGTTTATAATGGCACAATACTGGAAATGACCATCAACAGGGTACTGTACTGATCAAATAAATAAAATACACCCACCTAAGGGAATGTGGGAAGAGAGCTTCCTCCTCTTTTATGTCCGGATATATACAGTGTGAAAGATTAAATGAAAAAGCAAAGTGCAGAACACTGTGTGTGTCTACAGCAAAAAAAAGAGAAAAAGTATGTTTTCGTACAATGCTTAAGGAAACTCTACCAAAAAAAATACCATGAGTTGCTGGGGGTGAGGGGACTGGCAAGATGGGGTGGGATGGAAGTGAAATAAATTTTCCACTCACACCTTTTTTTTTTGATTTTTGAACCACATGAATGTCCTACCCTGAAGCATCATTTAAAAGGTAGACACTAGGAAACAAAACAAAACAAACGAGAGCATACCTGGGCAACCCCTTCTTCCCAGCCTCGGATCACCTCCTGCTTGCCTAGCATAAACTTAAAGGGCTTGTTTCTGTCCCGGGAGGAATCAAATTTCTTTCCATCTTCAAGCATCCCTGTGAAAAAGGGCAGTGGTAACATGAGCAACAAGGAGTGATGACATGAGGCGAGTCAGAAACCGGCAGCAGAGTGCCCATCCCGGACGCCGGCGCTGAAGGGCCTGGCAGGGCTGCCGGGGGCCTGAGGAGGAAGTGCGGTGTCCAGGGAGGATTTCCTGCATCCTCAGTGGGCCTCTACGGAGTTGGGATAGTCCCCTCCCCAGGGGCTGTGAATGTTCTTCCCAACTCCAAGCAGTAAGCTGACCACCAGAGGCAGGCAGCTGTCTGCCCTGGCCTGCGAATGGGGAAGTGTCCACGTTCCCGACATGAATTTTCATCATATATGAACCTACTCAATCCTCCCCCAGCACTGCCCCCATTTCACAGAGGAAGGAAGTGAGGCAGAGGGAAGTGTGAAGCAACCTGCCAAAGCAGTCAATCCCAAAGCCATGTTCATTCAACTACTCCAGTGTCCCAGAAGCCAGACAAACCACAGTGGAAGCCTCTACCAAAAGGGGGACTTCCAGAGACGGAGAGGCCACGAGAGGAACAGATACCTGCCACTCCTCGTTCAAAAAGGACCATCGCAGTGGTTTCTCTGGAAGCCAGAGTCAGCCAATGAGATAGCCGTCACTGAGGTCCTGAACTGTCAAACCACCATCCCAGACTGGAGGGGGTAAGCCAGCTATTGACCTACAACTAACGCAAGGCAGATTTCATTGGAGGCCGAGGGTGGGTGCCCATGATCATTCTAAGTATCACTCAGAAGACCCAGCAAAACACAGAATTCTGTTGTGTTCGGATGTTTTCAGAGAAGGAGGGAAATCCTAACATAAACCCCAACGTAAAAAACAATGTCAACCCTTGTAAGTGGGATGGGGAAGCAGAGATCAATTGAGAGCTTTATCAGAGCCACCAGACTAGCTGAACTTTGACAAAATAGGAAATGGGCAATGGCGGGGACAGGAACTGCTGTCCTAACAGAGCAGGAAGGCAGACAGATGTCTTGAGCAGAGTGGGTGCTGCTGCCACCTGAAGTCTGGAGCTGGGGGTTGAGGACTGAGAGGTAGACAGGAGAGTGGGGATCCACCCCTGCCAAGTCAGTGCAGGGCCAGGAACTGGGGCCCCAGAACTAGCAAGCTGGGATGTCCACGGAGCCCATCTCTTCCCCAGAATACAATCATGGCTGATAGAAGAAATGACAAATGGCAGGACTTGAGTAGTTTCCTATAAATGAGCAGCTGGGAGAAAAATAGATGTCCGCCCTCCAGAACTCTCACGGTAGTCCGTCCCTTCTGAGCTCTACTGCACACACTGAACCCGACCTACTCGAACCCTGCATTAAGGGTGAGAGAGAGTAGGCAACGAGCAGTCTGGAGTCTCAGAATCCTTTGACCGGCAGAAAGCCCTTCCATCCACCCACCCGAGCCTGCTTAAAACAAAAATAAGGAAACCAACTCCAAGGCTTAGTTAACCTACCCATGGTCAGAGTCAGTGGGTAGTGGGGCCTGGCTCCAGGAAAGGCAAAAACAAAAAATAAAAAAGCACCAAATAAAACACAAAACAAAACCCCCACATAAAAAGAGAGTGAGAGACAGAGAAGCAACACAGACAATAGCTAAAATGTGGTTTTTAAAACACGGGACACAGCAATAAAGGAGAGTAATCCCTGAGGGGAAACTAACAAGGCAAACCCGTGGACTGCCCAGCTAATACCCTTGGGCGTTTCCAGGGAGAGGAACCTGGATGGAGCTCAAGGCAGCTCCGAGTCCAAAGGACACAAACCAGGAAGGAGAGAGGTGTAGAGTGAAATCCCTAGAGATTTGCAGAGGGTCCCTCTTGAGTTTTCAGCAGAATTCTAATCAGTGCGTGTGTTTGAGGAAACTACTTAAGGTCAGGAAAAGAACTACCCCAAATTGGAAAGAACAGTGCCCAGCGCTTACACAGAGGTGGCATCAATGACTGCTCCCCGAGGCAGACTGGAGAAAATCCTGGTTTATGAGGCACTGGGTAGGATACCCAGAAGTCTCATCTCAGTAGTGGGGAATAATCAGCCCCAAACTGAACACTGCTCCAGACCCCCATAACAAATCATTAAAGCAAGACACAAAAGGATCAAACTGTTTCCAAGTAACTTAAGTGTTTCCCAGTACAAAGCTCAAGAAGATTTATAGGAATAAAAATATCCAACACCCCAAAAAGGTAAAATTCACAATGTCAAGCATCCAAAATTACCAAGCATGCAAACAGGAGGGAAAACACGACCCACAATGAGGAGATTGATCAATCAACTGAAACCACCCGAAACTGACAGAGATGTAAGGACAGTAAGAGTCAAACCAAACTTCCAGACACGGAAACTACATTGGGCTGGACCTGGATACCCACAGGCAAAAAGAAAAACCTTGGACCTATACTTCATATCATAATGAAATATCAACCCAAAATGGATAATAGACCTAAGCGTAAACGTAAACCTATACAACTTCTAGAAGAAAACACAGGGAAATAATCTCTGTGACTGTGGGTTAGGCAAAGATTTCTTAAGATACGAGGTCAAAAAGCACAATCCATAAAAGGATAAACTGAACTTCATCAAAACTAAAAACTTCTGCCCTTTTTTTTAAGAGAATGAAAACTCAAACCACAGACTAGGAGAAAATCTTTGCAAAGCACATGTCTGATAAAGAACTTTGTATCCAGAATATATAAAGAGCTCACAAAACTCAACGATAAGAAAACAAATAGCTCAATTAAAAAAGGGCGAAAGATTTGAACAGATACTTCACTGAAAAAAAAAAATACAAGTGGCAAGTAAGCACGTGAAAAGATGCTCAACATGATTAGTCATTATAAAAACGAACATTAAAACCACGAGGAGATACAACTACTACTTATTAGAATGGCTACAACTAAAAAGACTGATCATATCATACACTGGGGTAAGGATGTGGAGGAACTGGAATTCTTACACACTGCTGAAGGGTATATAGAAAGGAACAGCCACTCTGGAAAACAGTTGGCCATCTAAGTTAAACATATACCTCCCATATGATCTGACCATTCCATTTATCCTGGATAAATACCCAGGAGAAACGACAGCCATACAAAAAGACATATAAAGATGTTCATAGCAGACTCACTTGGAATAGCCAAAAACTGGAACAACCCAAACATCTGCCAACTGGTGAATGGATAAACAAGTACATCCATACAATAGATAACTATTCAGCAATAAAAAAGAATGAACTACTGATAACACGGAACAACATAATAATCTCAATTATGCTGAGCAAAAAAAGCCAGACACTGGTCTATACACTGTACAATTCCATATATATAAAATTTTAGAAAATGTAAACTCTGCTGACAGAAAAGCAGGCCGGGGGTTGCTGGGGATAGAAAGAGGAGGTTTCAAAGCATAACAAAGAAACATATCAAAACTTATGAAATTGTACCCACTAAACATGAGCGGTCTCCTGGATGTCAATTATGCCTCTACAAAACTGGGTTGTTTTTAAAGGGAAAAAAGTGAGATTCACTAAAATCTTACATGTGTTTCCCTCCTACAGCCAACTTGGCAGCCAGTGGCGAGGTACTTCCTCCATAAAGGGAGGGAGCAAGTAAAGCAGGCGGCCCGTCAAGTCTCAGCCGCTGTTCCCATTTTAACTCTGGACATCTGTGTGCCGGGACCTGGAGCCCCTGAACAGCAAAACCACCTGCCAAGTTAGTGCCATAATTTCCTAGAATTTCCCAACAAAGCACGCTCTGATGAGAGAAGGCAACTGAGGTTACAGTTCAGACATGACAGCTGACACTCTTGAGCTCCAGAGGCCACTCTTAGCAAAACCCATCCCCGGCATGGCCCTCTATTTGCAGCACTGACGGATTTCATTTCTGGCTGCACACAAACCTGTGCCTCATGCCCCACAGACTGCCTGGGACAGCTCCGTATTCTCCATTTCGAGAATGACTTTTTTGTCTCTCCTGACTGAACACAGCTTGGGGTCACAAACGGGGCCTCAGAGTCCTACGTCCCTGCGGGGGTCAGCTCAGCCCCTGGCACCCGCCATGCTGGCAGCACTCGTGCCCACTTTAAGACTGGCTCTGCCTGCACAATTTTCAAGAACCAGCAGGACAAGCACAAGGCCTCCATATTTAGACCTCTTCCCTGTGTGGTAGGAAGACTCTGAGGGGTAATCCCAAAATGACAGTTTTTACTTTTAGCACCTTTAAATGACTAATCAGTGAGGAAAAAAAAATGGGAAAACCTGGGGGTCTCCAGCTAAAAGCACAAGGACCATGAAAGGAGCAAAAGCTATGGTTGCATGAGGGACCGTGAAGCAGCCTCTGGCTGCAAGACCGTTGATGTCACCTTCATCTGAGCTGCCTCCCAAACGATTCAGCTGTTCTTATGGGGAAGAATCAGACTCCAATCCTTGGAGAGGGAGCAAGAAGGCTTAAAAAAAAAAAAAAAGATGTGGAGAAGAATCTCAAGTGCACCTCCCCCACAGCAGCCTGCTGGTTCCTGCTGCTCACCTGTTTCAGGGTGTGCTCGCTCAGAAGGAACCAGCAAAGGCTGACCTGGCCAGCAGCTGCTGAGCAAAGTGCCCTTGGACTATGCTTTTGGTACTTGGCCCAAGTCACAGAAGCAGTGGTGAAGACCCAGGGCCAGGATCTGGAGAGTCAAGAGGACCATGGGGTTATTATTTCACTAATAACGCAACAGCGTGTCATGGAAGGTAGAGCCCCCTGGACCCTCGCGAGGGTGGGGAGGGGAACCATCGAAGGACCTGAAGGGAGGGCTTCACCCCCGCGGCACTTAAGGCTCATGGCTCACCATGTGGTTCTCAGCTGCTGCTGGCCTCTTTGCAGGGGGTTTCATAGGCAGCATTTCACAGGGTTCGAACTAGAGAGAGTCTTAAAATTAAAGACGAAAAGCCCAAACCTAAATCCAACAATGACAACAACAAAACAGAACATCCCACACTCCAAACTTGCCAAACAAAATAAAGCTC